AGACTCTTGTATCACAGAACAAGTCCACAGGAACCTTACTCATCACTTCACATTTCCTCCTCTGGCACTGCGACGTCACGGCCATGTGGCACTCAGGGGAGAAGCGGCGAGTGACACAAACATCAGCATCGTGCGTTTGGATGATTGATTGATGGGTTTATATATCTATATTTTTTTTATTTATTTAACATGGTATGTATATGACGTTTATATTAATGCTACCACCACTACAACGACCACTACTACTACAACTACTACTATAATAATAATTAACAACTAATAATTAACTAATAATAATAATAACAACAATAACAATAATATTATTATTAATAATAACAACGACAGTGACAGTAATAATAATAACAATAACAACAATAATTATAATAACAGAACTGTAATGGCAATATATTAAATTCAACACTATAATAATAATAACTATCCCGACAACAACTAAACTGACAATAACTATAAAGACCAGAAAATCAAGATAGAAAAATATGACTAGCCAAAAATATCACTAACCAAAAGAGTCATGGCATCAACAATACCAGAAACAGCGACGACAACGACAACGGCAGTAACATATAAAACAAAAACAAACAAACAAAATAGCACCGGCACAAACAAAACCAAAAGCAAGTACACGCCGCTGACATCAAGCACCCAAGGAAGCGACGAAAAAAGGCGGGACAATGACATCAGACAAAAGCTAATCGATGTGCACCAAGCCTCACGACATGTGAATGACCGGCCGTGCTTTCCAACCGGAAGTTCATGCGCCACCTCATGGGATGCAGGATATCTTGCATGAGGGTCAGTGCTTGCATAGGATGTATCTTGATGGATGGGCGGGTGAACGGGGGGGGGGGGGATGGGATGAGATGGATTTCCAGTATTAACGTATTCGCTATCAATTTGTAAAATAATAGATGGCAATCTTCTTCGCCTACTTAGTTACTCACTGTATTTCCGTTTGTTCACTCATTTAATTTGATTTATGGATTTATATTCTCAACTCGCTTCCATATCCCTTTATTCCCTTACCCTACCGGACCAAGAGCCCGACAGAGCGACCGTCCACCACTAAGGGGAGACGGCGGCCGGACAGAACAGCCGCGTCGGCCTCGTACGGATGCCCTTGGCCGGACGCTCGCAGACGCCGCCGGGAGAGGCAGCCGAACCCGAGCCGTCGGAAAGATTACTAGTCCAGAGTGCCAGGGAGCTTATCAGGAACGGGCGCACGAAGAATTTCATAATTTCCGGAATCATTGGCGATGCGGTATGATATGATACGGTAATTTTCAGCAGCGCCTCTTTTGGCTACAACAAACCTCACACTTCAAACCTCAATCCTAGTCCCAATCGAACGTATATTTAATGTCAAGTCCCACTGACCCCGCAGTAGCGGAGGTCCCACTTGCATCGCACCTTGTTCAGGCTACTTGCTTTCCTTCTTTCGTAAGATGACTAATGCCAAGACCGCTCACCCTTGTATCAACTATGTTCGCTCACGTCAACTATTTATTACATGTTTTGGGACTTCAGTAACAGCAGGTGCCAAACCGCTTACCGCTGCGCAACGACCCTGGCAGGTCATCTCAGGTCAAGTTGATGTCTTGGTCTTATCGGATGCAACCAAGCTTCTCTTGACGCTCGGGAAACATGCAGCGAGTCTCGGAAGGAGACCAAGCGTGGCAGTGCCAGCGAGTGCCAGCGGTGCCAGCTGTGCCAGCGGGAAGTTTCGGTTCTGTAGCACGTCGTAGCCAGTTTCGGTGTCCTTGACCTTTGTGTTGGCTTCAGCGAATGTGAGTATCTCGAAGGAAAAACATTTTCTGCTGCAATGCGCTGCCCGCTTGCCATGCGCTACATAGTTCCCCAAGCAAAGACTCGCCCGTGACCCTTGCCCCCAGCAGGTTCCCACCGAATTAATTTGGCAACTAGTGGGATTACTGCAGTAACAGGAACGTTAATTAAAAAAGAAACAAACGGGGCGTCACGTTCGAAGCGCAGCGAGATATAGAGAAAAAAAAATATACCAGATAACGCCGGATAAAACCGGATCTAGAAGGGAGTAAACAAAACACCAGAACCGGATCAAACTACGCAAAGGAAAGGCATGCCCCCCCCCCAGGTCTTAAAACCAAATACGGCAATACGGCCCCCTACCCCACCCGAGTATGGCCGAATCATGAAAAAGAGCATGGATATCAAACCAGTCCTGGGACAAAATCGCACAAGATAACCTGCCAAGACTAGGAATGCTTCATTAATAGAGATTTTGTATTCTGTTTATATGGTTTTATCACTTAAGAGCAATTATTCTTACAACAACAATCGATAATTGCCCTGAAGCTGATGCGTAAAACGGGCATCGGTTTCAGGGCAAGACTCCATATCCGTGAAGGTCTTTAGTTCTCAAAAATAATAATAATAAGTAAATAAATAAATAAATAAATAAATACATAGAAAGCTGAATTTTCGAATCTAGGATGTTGCTAGAATAATTAAGCTTATCATCAAAATATATCTGTTGGATTTTCAGCAAAGCCTGTAAACATTATTATTATTTTTTTTTTTTTTTTTTAAGATAATCCGACAGATAAACAAGTCTGATAAGTGAGTGTCTAGATTATGCTTATCTATAGTATGTTCCTTGTTTACTGAATTTTATCGGTATTTTTTTAAAAATCCCGAAACGCCTCCCTACAGATATCAAAGAAGACAATCCTTTACCATCGCATCCGTAACCAAACAATACCAACGGAGACGCGATCACGGGAAGCCGCGCATGACTGGGATCGCAAAAGAGTAAATCAATCGAACAATCAATCACTCAATCAATCAGAACAAGATAATACCCATAAAGCCATTTACAGAGGGGATATCACGCCTACGGGAGCTCATACGCCCACACCTAACACTCGAACCGGGAGCGTGTTGACAAAAAGTGCAATGAGAGATGGATAAACAACAGCACGAAACAGCAAAACCGGCAGACTATACCCCTCACACGTCCGACAAAAGGGTTGTTGGAACATTGCGCTATTGCTGTGTGCTGGAGGCGGGAAGCGTCCTAAGGATTAAGCGGTGACTTATTTAAGCAGACCGTGAATGGTCTACTAAAATTAAGGAGGAGAGGGAGAGGGAGAAGGAGAAGAAGGAGAAGAAGGAGAAGAAGGAGGAGGAGGAGAAGGAGGAGAAGGAGGAGGAGAAGGAGGAGGAGAAGGAGGAGGAGAAGGAGGAGGAGAAGGAGGAGGAGAAGGAGGAGGAGAAGGAGGAGGAGAAGGAGGAGGAGAAGGAGGAGGAGAAGGAGAAGAAGAAGGAGGAGGAGAAGGAGAAGAAGAAGGAGGAGGAGAAGGAGAGAAGAAGGAGGAGGAGAAGGAGGAGGAGAAGGAGGAGGAGAAGGAGGAGGAGAAGGAGGAGGAGAAGGAGGAGGAGAAGGAGGAGGAGAAGGAGGAGGAGAAGGAGGAGGAGAAGGAGGAGGAGAAGGAGGAGGAGAAGGAGGAGGAGAAGGAGGAGGAGAAGAAGGAGGAGAAGGAGGAGGAGAAGGAGGAGGAGAAGAAGGAGGAGAAGGAGGAGGAGAAGAAGGAGGAGAAGAAGGAGGAGAAGGAGGAGGAGAAGAAGGAGGAGAAGGAGGAGGAGAAGAAGGAGGAGAAGAAGGAGGAGAAGAAGGAGGAGAAGAAGGAGGAGAAGAAGGAGGAGAAGAAGGAGGAGAAGGAGGAGGAGAAGAAGGAGGAGAAGAAGGAGGAGAAGGAGGAGGAGAAGAAGGAGGAGAAGGAGGAGGAGAAGAAGGAGGAGAAGAAGGAGGAGAAGGAGGAGGAGAAGGAGGAGGAGAAGAAGGAGGAGAAGGAGGAGGAGAAGGAGGAGGAGAAGAAGGAGGAGAAGGAGGAGGAGGAGAAGGAGAGAGAAGGAGGAGGAGAAGGAGGAGGAAGAAGGAGAAGGAGAAGGAGAAGGAGAAGGAGGAGGAGAAGGAGAAGAGAAGGAGGAGGAGAAGGAGGAGGAAGAAGGAGGAGGAGAAGGAGGAGGAGAAGGAGGAGGAGAAGGAGGAGGAGAAGGAGGAGGAGAAGGAGGAGAAGAAGGAGGAGGAGAAGGAGAAGAAGAAGGAGGAGGAGAAGGAGAAGAAGAAGGAGGAGGAGAAGGAGAAGAAGAAGGAGGAGGAGAAGGAGAAGAAGAAGGAGGAGGAGAAGGAGAAGAAGAAGGAGGAGGAGAAGGAGAAGAAGAAGGAGGAGGAGAAGAAGAAGGAGGAGGAGAAGGAGAAGAAGAAGGAGGAGGAGAAGGAGAAGAAGGAGGAGAAGGAGAAGAAGGAGGGGAAGGAGAAGAAGGAGGAGAAGGAGAAGAAGGAGGAGAAGGAGAAGAAGAAGGAGAAGGAGAAGAAGAAGGAGAAGGAGAGAAGAGGAGGAGAAGAGGAGGAGAAGAGGAGGAGAAAGAGGAGGAGAAGAGGAGGAGAAAGAGGAGGAGAAGAGGAGGAGAAGAGGAGGAGAAGGAGGAGGAGGAGAAGAAGGAGGAGGAGAAGAAGGAGGAGGAGAAGAAGGAGGAGGAGAAGAAGGAGGAGGAGAAGGAGGAGGAGGAGGAGGAGAAGGAGAAGAAGAAAAAAGAGTCAAAAAGAGGAGGTCGACGAGAAGGAGGGGGATAAACACGAGAAAAAAGGAGAGGGTAAACGAGGAGGAAAGAGAAAGGGAAATGACAAACCCTCCATTCAGTTTTATCTCTTAAGCATAATCATGAGATTCGAGACAAAGTAAATTATACTTCATATCATATCAATCATAAATCATAAAGATCAAAACGGTGATTTGAATTCATAATCAACTAACAAAAAATGGGATTTTCCCCACAGACCTGACTGACTGACTGACTGACTGACTGACTGACTGACTGACTGACTGACTGACTGACTGACTGACTGACTGACTGACTGACTGACTGACTGACTGACTGACTGACTGCCTCTTCCTTCCCTCTTCCTTCCCCCCCCCCCCCCCCGCGTCCACCACACTCACTTATAAATGGAGGTCTCGAGGAGCGTGTCGCTGGAGGCCGTATCGGACATCCGGATCCCCTGCAGCGACACGTGGACGCTCACCCGCTCGGGCTTGCGTCCCTTCTGCTTGGCGGCGTGGATGATGCGCTTGATGGCCTCCGCCGTGGACGCCTCGCCCTTCGGTTCGTCCACCACCGTCGAGCCCAGGTACTTGCAGTAGAACGTCACGCCCTCCACCACCGGCTCGCGGATGCTGGCCCACTCCTCCGAGAGCTCTGAGGGGAGGGGGAGGGGGGGAGAGAGAGAGGGGGTTTAGTTTTTTGTTGTTGTTGTTGTTACTTGTTGGTTTGGTTTGGTTTGTTTTTTTTGTTTTGTTTTGTTTTGTGGGTGGGTGTTTTGTTTTTTGGTATGGGAGGGGTGGAGATGTGGGGGGTCGATTTGTTTGTTTGTTTGTTTGTTTTGGTTGTTTGCTTACCGTGTTTTTTGTTTGTAATACTGTATTTGTTTGTTTACTTCATGTTTTTTTTTAGTTTTGTTTTTGTTTGTGCTTGTTTACTGTTTGTTATTTTTTATTGTTTTAGCTTTACACAGATTTTTTTTCTTCTTTTTTCATTTTTGATCTATTCCCCCACCTATAGAAGTGGGGGAATATAATGCTGGCCTAGCCTTCCGAACACCACGTGGGAGGCGAAAGGAACCGAAATCGAACGTTAATCACCCGAAATCAACCCTTATGATTAATTACTGCAATCGCCGAAAAAGGGTAAAGAAACGTATTTAAAAAAGGCTTGTTCTCCCTTAGACCATTTTAACTAACCTGTTGCCATCCTGATATTTACCATTATCCTACTTATCATCACTTGTTATTCACACCATTATCATCATCATTATGACTAAAAAAAAAAATTGAACTCACTCCCATACAAGCATAATTAAGAGTAAAAATCTGGAGCTCAAAATTTCCTAAAAATCAAGAACATCCACAGCTTTCATTTCCACTTTTTTTCTTGGTTCGTCTTATTTCCTAATCTATTGGTATTCTTTTTTTTTTTTTTTTTTTTTGGGGGGGGGGCGATTTTTCTTGCTTCTCGGGAGACTATTTTTTGTAGTTTTAGGCGAGTGGAAGACGGAAGATAATAGAGCAAAAAAAAAAAAAAAAAAAAAGGAAAATAGAAAAGAGAAAGAAAGAAAAAGGAAAAAGGGAAAAAAGAAAAAAAGGAAAAAGAAAATGAGAAAGAAGGAATGGGGGAATACAAAGGGTAAATCTAGTTAGTTTTTTTTTTTTTTTTTTTTTTTTTGTCTTTTATTATCTTATCAATGTATTTACAAGGTAAGTTTTCCTCTTTTCCTGGTTGATTTTAAGGAGTTTTAAAACACTTCGAAGTCACTGAATAATCATACTAAGAATCACAATGAACATTATCACTAATATCTAGAATCGCAACAAAAATCATAATTTAAAATAATGAGAATCACGGTCATACTACACAATTATCCTTGCTATTCTAGTGTGTCGCCTTTACACTATCACCTTGAACGATTGGTTACAAAACCCATTTAATTCCACGCCAAACACGGCTTCATGTCAAGTAAGTCAAAATGCAAGGCTTTCCTCCGTGTCACTGATAATGACAGGTAAGGTTATTCGCTGGACATTTACCTTTTTCTGTTTTCAAATCCGTTATTTTTTTCTCTTTTTTTTATGTAATCATAAATCTTAACCATCGGAAGACTTTAAGGAGCGTGTCTGGAGCGTGTCCAAGGTTAGAAAAAAATAAATACATTCGTCCGTGACACCTCGTCAAAAATAGACGAACGGGCAACTTCGGACCGCAATGCCAACGCTCCGCCTCGATTCCCGGGCAACACAAATCGGCACAAAAACAAGCGAACTGGCAACTCCACGGCCGAAGGATGCCCACTCTTCCGAGAAAATAAATCTCCCACGCTCGGCAGACTGCAAACAAGTGAAATCGGCCGAGCCAAAATGCAACGACTGCACGTTTAAGGGAGAGTGCAAATGTCTTTTGTGAAATCTCAACTGGGTGGAAAAAGAAGGAGAAAATAATAATACATCCTAATTCAATGGAACGCAACAACCGCGGTTTAAAATCCTTTTCAATTGGATTCGGTTCATGAATGTTCAACAACTACATCTTCCTCGCACTCATAACATCAGGACGTTAATGTGACCAGCAGGTACAGGTGCGGACAGGTTGCAAGTGTAAATTTCAGGACGATGGTAACTAACTGTACTAACTATTCGCGCGCGTTTCAGCACTTAATCTGAAAGGAAAGAGAAACGATGAGCATATGATTTGACCACGATATATGAGGACCACACTGAGCGAGTGTGAATACACATGGCAGAGAGAGAAAAAAAAAATAGTAAACAACATGAGTAGGCCTCGCGAGTGAGAGCCCCGGGCGGCCCTTGAGAGAGAGAGAGAGAGAGAGAGAGAGAGAGAGAGAGAGAGAGAGAGAGAGAGAGAGAGAGAGAGAGAGAGAGAGAGAGAGAGAGAGAGAGAGAGAGAGAAGAAGAAAGAGAGAAGAAGAAAGAGAGAAGAAGAAAGAGAGAAGAAGAAAGAGAGAAGAAAGAGAGAAGAAAGAGAGAAGAAAGAGAGAAGAAAGAGAGAAGAAGAATTTAATGACCTGTCCCCTCTACTTTCCCCTCGACTTCCCACGATACCCAAGACCCTAGTGGTAATCGACTGTGCCAAGTTTGACCTGCGCCCAGAAAATAACGACAATAGTGAAGTGCCCACAGAGCAAACGATTCCAGCCCTTATCGTCGAATGTTCTATAACTGCATGTTAATTTATATCTTGATTATACTCAAAATGTTTGTTAAAAAATCCTTATTCTCAATCACTATGTTTGTAATCTTTATTATTGCTGATATTGTAGTTATCTGATGTTGACTATATAATTGTATTGTCTTACCCAGTGTAACCGACCTAACATGTGACCACAAGACCCTTACCCTGTTGTAAACCAGAGGGCCAGTATTGACATTTCCCACGAAAGAACAATGTTGCCATATTCTTATGTTTAGTGAATATTGTGAACCATTCGAAATCTCAGAGAGCCGAAGTCACTCTGCCCTCAGCATCGGCTCCGGCAACACCTCAAGTTCCAGCTCTCTCTCGAGACCGCTCGCCTGCGGGCGTGGCACGAGGCCTCGCTCCTCCTTGAGCGACTCTGCCACGCCTGACCTCTGTATCCCACCTACCACGCTACCGCAGAATAAAGTATTGAAGCTGTATCAACTTTAACTATCAACTCCACGACACTTCACTTCAAGACACAAACGACAGTTCCCTACAAGAGAGAGCGAATAAGCACACCACAGGACACTACATAATTTGGTGGGATCGCTCTGGGGGGATCAAAACCACCTATTATTACAGTGGTGCCATCGAGGTGGGATCGCTCCGGGATATCAAAACCTCATTATTACAGTGTTGGCAGCGCACTGGGATTACGCACCCACGAGCCGAAGATAACGTACCCACGAGCCTCCGAAGAAACGCAAGATATTCTATCAACTCCTGCAAGCGGAGACACCATTGCCGACTTCATCTCAAGATACATCTGCGATTTCCCGACATCAAGCACGAAGCCAGTCTTCACTGCCGAGCTGACATCGCTTCTCTCTGCGCACAGTACTTCAACACCTGTCGCAGTCTTCCACTTTTGCTGCAGTTGCCTGATGCCCGCAACTTCGATCAACACTGCCCCGCCAGTACCTCAAGGTGAGTTTCTTTATCCTCGCTGTTCTCATTTGTTTAGGAAATCCCCTGTGAAGTGAAGTGTCTGTTTTGTTCTCGCTCTCGCAAACACCTGTGTTCCTCCCCTCTTAGAAAACGAGACCTCCCCTCAGCTGACATTATGTCTCGCGGTCACTCTGCGCCTCCCCTCACCTCACTCGTGCCCTGCGGTTTGCCTAACCTTTTCTTTTTGGTACCCTCATTCCCCTGTAATTTGTTTACTTATGAGTACTAAATTTGTTCTCGTGTTAATTTAAGTTGTTGACGAATTTCTGAATTTACACGAGGCTGAATTCCAGTTCATTCATAATGAACTATTTCACAGGAAAATCTTTCCTGCTTTTGTTGGCATGTTTTAAATGAGTATATTCATAGGGGAAATCATTAATGTTTCCTAGAAAGGAACTTATCTTAATTACTTCCCATCAATCCTGCATTTTCGCGTGAAACTACTCTCATATCCCTGAAGGAAATATGTTCTAAGTATGGCCTATCTTCCTACATTTTCATGGGAATATTTTTGTTCTGTATTCTTGCATATGAATTTACATATTATTTCGTGGAGAATCACTACTATATTATACATGGCTCTGTAAGATCATAATTTACTCGAGATTTTATCCTGCAATTTAGATAATTTACTACTGCCTTCTGTCAATCAGGTGAATGTTGCAATTAACACTATTTTGAATCCCTGACACGTTGCTTCCAGTCATTTCCTAATCGTTTTGAGTTCGTGTTGATATTGTAACTCCCTGAGATATGGCATTACGTCTTCTGTCGCCAAGACATGGTACTGTTGTTTTCGTTCGTTGTCTTCAGAACCAGACGCCCCGTGCTGAAGCCCACTGCTGACCTTGACCCTCGGATCACCACGTCGTCCCCCTAGCCGCCAATCCCTGGCGCACCAAGTCTCGCTCGCCCGTTAACGAGCCCATCTCACGGACGTTCTCGCTCCCGCATCACCCGACGCCCTTCGTTCTCTACTGCACGTCGCTGCAACTTCGGCCGTGTCCGCCGCCTCGTCCGCTGGTGACTGCCGCCTGACGTCCTCGTCGCATCTCGTCTCGTCTCGTCTCGTCTCATATCGTATCGCCCGACGTCCTCGTCGCATATCGTCTCACTCACCACACCTGATGCCTGTGCTGGTGAACCTGGCAAGAGTGGTCCTGCCTTGCCTGTCGGAACTCGTGACACCAACGCCCTGGTGCTCCTCCTCTCAAGAGATGACGAATCCTCCCCGCCAACGACGTGATCCTGATCCTCTCAAGACTTCGCTCTCACGACTCTCTGCTCAGCACTCGTCTCCTCGCCATCAACTTGGTCCAGAATCTTCTAAACCGGTGTGTGTGTCATTTACGAATGACACGGCGCTTGACAAGTTAACTGCAACTTCCAGCGATCCTGTGGAACGATTGACGAGCTTCGTGACTGATCACCACTGCTGCTCCCGTCAAGACCACCTGCGCTTCGGAACAGTGACCTGTGCAAACAAGCTCCCTAGG